CTGTGCTACAAGTTGTATGCGTGATGTTCACTTTTCATGATCACTGAAGTTTTTTTGTTGTTGTGGTTTTTTTTCGTGAGGGCGACGACACCAAGAATATTCCTGAAATTTGACCTGTATTCGCGACTCCAGCAAAACGGACGCCGCCAAGCGGGAAAACCGGGAACCAGTCGGTCCAGGTCGCTCCGCGCCCCGCCGCGTCTCTGATGGCTTTCGCGGACACGTGCTGTCGGCGCGGGGGCGAGCAATGTAACTTGACGAAGGTCCGAAAATTTCTTAAGTTTGCCTGAGTGTTCATTAGTGTAATGAAGCCTCAGTAGATTGTTTCATTCCATGACGTGTTTGAAAGCCCGTTTACTCCATAACACACGGTCGCGTGCTTTCAATTTTTTGGATGAGGAGGAATCACGGAAAAACGTTTTGATTTTTCGTCTGTCTCTAATCACATTCAAAGTGACGACTACTTGGTAACTGATAAGTGGTTTCTTTATAAGAGTGTAGAACAGTGGACTGAGGTCGACAGACGAAGTGTTTACTGGAGGGAACACCAATGTTGCAGTCAAGTGCATGGGAAAGTTCGATAGCTGCTTTCCTTGAGTTTGGTTTTGCTCGATTAGCTTCAAGTTAATTTGAGCCACTAACGCCGGCCGGTGCATTGGCTATTCATCTTCGCGGCTTTTCGCCGAAAAAGACCACATTGAAGGAGTTGGGCTAATTTCGCAATTACTTGATTCAGAAAACCTGCTCGCTGCATATGATTAATGAGGGAAATTATTTCCTTTCAAAAGGTGGGGGACGTGTCTCGCAAAGTTAGAAGCTGTCACGTCATTAGGATCTATCGCGCATCCAATATTTATATTATAACCCCTGTCGAAGCCAGCAGCAATATACGTCTACATTGCTCAGGTTGACCGGCCACAAAAAATACTCATTTTATCCGTTCAGGATTCGAAGTCAAGTTCAATGCGGAGAGGTATGAGTGAATCTCCAAAGAAGACTCTCCTCAGTTTGTCCGCATTCGTCTCCGTTCTACCGGCTAGAACCATTTGGCTAAGTTTAAGTAGTATCTCTTTGTCAAATATACTTTTATTCAGCAGTTCACCTAATAGTTAGTCAACTAAGTTCATATTTCAACCCGAAGAATATACTAATATCGCTTTAGCGGGACCATAGTACGTAATATAATACATAATCCGCATATTCATCAAAATGACTTCTCGATTGCTACTAAAACCTGAATTGAAATACGAGTATCAGCTGCTTAGTGAAGCGCCAGCGAGTTGACATGCTCCTTGGCTCAAGAAGCGCTAGCTTAATTTGCGTAATTTTCCTGCAGCTTGTGTTCTTGACCGAGCATACGACTGGAGCTGTTTCTTGAAACGCGGACAGGCACAAAAGCTCGATTTCGCGGTCAGATAAGTCGCATGGTCGAGGCATGCGAGTTAGCTAAAAATTACTCTCGGCGGGACAATTTTGTAGCCCTCGCCGCTTTCCTTAGATGATCAAATCTAATTAGAGTCTATTACCGTTTCTTCGGAGCCCATAGTTTCGGTTTTGATCGAAGTCTCCGAAACGAAAGTTTGACATGAAAAGAACAAAAAACACCGACAAAACAAAACTATGCTCGGCAAGTTTATGCGCACCGGCTACACTTAACTGTCTCAGTTCAAATACCCATAAAATTGGGCATTCAATAAAAGAAAATTTGTTAAATTGAATGCGCCACCCATTCAGGCGGCCCGGCCGAGCCGACGCGACCTGGACTCAGCCCCCATGTTTGTTTGGTGGTGGCGCCCCCTATAGGTCGCTGGAGTCGCGAATAGAGTGTGCGATAAGACGCTGCGCACCGGGTTTCACGTGCTGGAGTCATACCCGGAAACGCACTGCAGACTTGATTTCTCGGGCAGACTTTCTTAAAGGGGCACTGAAGTCATTTTTGAAAAAAGTCGTTTTTGATCTTATATTGTTTAAAATATGTTAGTTTCCACATATACCAAGTCCAATATTACGAAACCGGCTATACACCTCAGGGTAACAGAAAAACATGTGGACTCTTTTTTCTCGCGGACTACATTGTGTGGACCAATGAAAGCCCTACAATACCCGCAGATTCCGAATGCTTTTATTATAAGTTGTGTCGAAGAGAGTCTGATAGGCACACATTCGCATATGACTCCTCTTTTTCTCCGCAGGCAAAGCCATCGCTTGCAACGCGCCGACAAGCGCCCTTCGTCGACCACTTCACTCGGAAGAAAATTCTTCCCAAGAAGGGCGCGTCGCGAACTTTGAACACGCTTTTAACGAGGAAGTAAGCTATACGCACAATTGTGATTGCGGTTTTGTTGGGATGCTTAGAGAGTCCACAGGGAGTTGTCACCACAAGAGGACGATCTCAGGATTGACTTCAATGCCCCTTTAAAGGGGCACTGACACCCCAAAGGTCGTATTTATTTTTATTGTCTAAAACGATGCAAGTTGCAGTCATAGACACGCAAAAAAAACCGCATCGCGAAAAAAAATTTTCCCGCGCGCGCGCGCGCCTTTTTATTTTTGGCGTTTGATTTTCCCGCCTCTCGCCTCCTCGCTTCTTTTGATCGGTGACGTCAAAAATCAGGAAATTTAGAAGCTTTGTAGGCGACATCTCTATAACATTTAATAACGGCAATCCTAAAACATGTTTTTTAACGCAATTGCGAACGCACTACGGCCCTTCTTTTTGAAATACCAAAAATCGGGAGTTCGTTGTGGTGCCGTCTCCTCGGCGCCGATCGCGCGGGAACTTCGAATTCGGCATTTGGAAATTGTTTTTTTACTTCACAAATACTGAATTCCCAAATTTCAAATTTTGAGGGTAATGTCCCGGCATCGTTTTCAATCGTTTCGGATAATAAAAAAAAATATGATTTTGATGTGTCAGTACCCCTTTAAGAGTTCGTGTCCCGACCGTCCGATGATCCCTCCGCAGTCAGTGAGAAACTAGGAAGGCCGAAGAAGCAATCAGGCCACAAGAAGAGGGAACATAACAAGGCGTTTCTTGAACTGTCACTGACTCTAGCTCGAGACATACTTCTGACTTGCTTCTTCGAACTGACATCCGGGGAGTGACGCTTCACAAAAAGTGTTAGGACTCTAAAACACGATTTGTGCAGAGACAATGAGGTTGAGGGAATGCTCGCTTCCCCTGGGCAGATCGCACTTATCAGCCGCTTTTTACGTCTCGTCATTTTCCGCCGGTGTGTTCTGTAAATTACAATCGTTGGACTTCCGTCTGCATGCACTGACAAAAACGCATAGGCATTTTTGTTTTCTTGGAGGGTAGCAAGTGGTTCTTTGAGTACTCTGCAGGGAAGTTTTACTCGCGGGCATTTTGTTTAGAATGAGAGTTGAGGTGAAACCAGGTATAGTTCCCCCTCCCCAAGTAACAATAACCCTGCTTGTAAAGTGCTGTTTCGTAAACTACTGCCAGCTTTTTTTTTTTTTTTTTTTTTTTTTAGTAGCTTGCAAGCAGTGGCAATTAAATTGATTTGTTTTTAAATATATCTGAGATTTTAGAACCAGTTGTGTGTCGAATAAAACGAAATAACCGAGAAAGTGCGCGTTACGCGAATTTCGAAACAGCACTTAGAAGCAAGATACAAGCTGGACAGAATGTTTAGTTAGTAGGAGAGAGGTGGCAGATACGAAACGGGGTCACGAGCTGGGCGGCCACTGTTGAGGCGTGAAATGCAGGAAAAGCGTTCCTGCCCATCAAAACCATCATGTTCGCGAGAATAGTGGTCCCGAAAGCCTTGGTTGCGACAGCCTCGGGCCCTGCAGCCGCCTGCCGTCGACTGAGCGAGACCGTCGTCGGCTGGTCCCTCAGCAAGTTAACGCGGGAGATGGGTCGAATTAGACGCCGAAATGAAGACGGGTTGTCGACATTTTCGGGGCGTTGATGAAGCGGTGTGGCTGTGAGCCTGACCCGCTTTCAGGCTGCTGCCGCTGCCTAGCTTCGGGTGGCGGGAAGACCAGCCTTGATCTTGAGGCCAATGACCTTGGAACACGCCTTGCTGCTTTGAGGATGCCAGTCCGGCTCTTTTGCACGCGCCTGGAAGCTATAGCAGCCGAGCTGATTTAGATTTCGGGCCTATTTGTGACGCCCGCGTTGGTGTTTTCTTCTTTATCTTCAGTGGGCGGCTCGCCGCCGCCATCGCCGCCGCACCAAAGTCCCCGATTTAGTGCGCCGCCGGACTGGACTTGTGGCGCCTAGACTTTCCCCGGTTTGTTTTGGATCCTGGCTTCCTCCTGCGCCCAGAGAAATGCGAGAGGGAGAGCAGCGCGCGTTTGGCGCTTGCCCCACGCTCACCTCTTTCCCGCCGTCCTCTTAGAAATTTAACATAAAAAAGAAAAGAAAGAAACAAAAACAGATAACGCGAAAACTTGCGGGTGAATCGCTTCCAGGAGGAAACGTACGTAGGTAGCCGCTTGACAAACGTGCAGGCTTCTCTCGGCCTTTGGTTTTAGGTGTTTGTAAATAGAAGCAGGCCGAAACCTAATCCTTCTACTGGCAGCGTCCATTTCATTTCCAGCTCGACTACCGCAGTGGAGCGCGGGCGATTGTTTGTGTTCTATTTCGCAATAACGGAAACAATTTTCTCAGGGTGGTTTTAAGAGCAATAATTAGAGCCGGATTATGTTTCCTTGTTTTTCTGGATGTGTATAGTTTGAACGAGACATTCACGTGCACGTTTCTTTATGAGTACAACCTGGCAACGTCAATTTCTACATTTGTTGTTGTTTTACATAGTGTTTTTTTTTGTGTTTCTTTTTTTCTCGCGGTACTCACTGATTCATTGGTATTCTCCGACGCGGAGATGTTGATCACACAAACTCTCGTGGTTCACTGTAAGCAAAGCAAAAGGAACAAAGCAAAAGCAGGACGGAAAATATACGAGGCCCAAATATATGCATCAACAAAACAAAAAAGAAAACACCTCAATAGTACAGTTCAACGTGGCGTTCGGTAACAAATCGGCTCTTCATTTCCCTTTGCATTCCCGCTGCTCTCACGTCTCGTCACGATGGCGCCGGTCTCTCGGTCATTCGCAGCTCTTCCTGGCGTGTTTCCCCGTTTCAACGTCCCAGGCCCACCGGGCTGTAATACATCCAGGGACTGTAGTGGTGCAACCCGTACCCGAAGCCGTAATACGGGAAGGGAATGTACGACACGGTCTTCACGTAGCTGAGCCGAGCTCTCGGTGCCAGCTTGGCCCTCGAAGTGGGCCTCCGGGTGGGGAGCCGCTGGGAAGTTTCCTTGGCCGAGGGCGCGCTCCAGCGCTGCGTCTTGAACCTCGGAGTGATGGTCCGTGTCGCGGAATGGCGGTGGGGCGGACGCGGTTGCTCTTTCTGGAGCATCATGGCGAACAGCTCCGCGCGGCTGATGGCTTCTCCCGAGTCTGGAGGCTCCCCGATGTAACTCACGCCCAAGTCTTCTTGCGGGTGCAGTCGCTGCGTCTTCAGCACGGCTGGATGAAGGTTGGCGTCGATCGCGTGGGATGTGTCCGCGTCTGTCCGGACACCGGTGGCCGTGTAGGAACTGGAACGTCGCGACACGGAGCCAGGTCGGGAGCGCGATGTCGGGGACTGGGACCCTGCCAGGGACGCCGCCGCTGAGCTGGTCAGCAGGCTGAACCCGGCGGTGGCCAACTGGGGAAACAGGGAAGCCGGTCACGCCAGTGTTATAGCGAGTTCGTTTCACGACAGTCGTGTTCACGCGTGCCCACTCGCAGTGTGGAGCGGGTTCGTTTCGACCGGCACTCCACGAGTGGTTGCACCCTCCAAGTTTGTTTCATACAGCGGCATCCCACGCGTGCATGCAATCGCTGCACCGAGAAACTCGAGCGTGCGCCGAAATGCAATTCCTTCATGCCTCGCTCAGGCAAGGAGCGGGAGCGTGCGACGAGGGTTCGTCTGCTACGATGTGTCATTTGTGCAGCAGAACCGAAAGGAAAAAAGTAGTTTTTCTGACAGAAATCGTTTCCCGCGGGCAACGGAATCAAACGCGAGCTTGAATTGTGAGCGTCAGCCGTTTTACGAAGGAAGCAATTGACAACCCGCGCTTTATTTGCAAGTTTTTAATCGCTATGTGCCGTACAGACGCCGAAATATACCGGTGTGTAAAGAAATGTTCAGAACAAACGCATCGGCGGCCCCCGATATCTTTATCACCATCCGCGTGCGGGTGAAAATTTGAACATTTGTCGACAAAGCCACCCCAGCAGAAACTTGTGACAGCCCAATAAGCATCAGAGAAAGCTAAACATAGTGACTTTACCCGAGGCTTGGGCAACATCATCATGTTTAACATTTGCCTACGTCAGCTATCTTGCCCCGTCGTATTTTGTTTGAGAAAGCTCTCGTTCTCGACGCCCTCACCAAGGCTAAAATCGGACCGACCTGTAACAACGATCGAAATCGAATGTCCCACCAAACGTTTTGCTGAATATTCCAACAGACTAGTTTTAAGCTTTCAGTGGTTCACGCATAATACCATGCTCAAACGGATCAAGCTTCTATGCGGACAGCATCAACAGTTTTCACCAGTATAAACGGTTATAAGAATTGAAACATCGCAACCAGCTTTTTTTGTAGTACGCTGGTTACGAAAATTTACGCCGTCTGTAACTATCTCTACGACAGCCGAGATGCTTGAAGTCATCGCATATATAAACTAGAGGTTGCAGCGACCAACGTTTATATATAAACGTTGGCAGCGAATGCACTCTCGCATTCCCACCCATCACGTTGCACATAAAGACGCTAGTTTCGGTTTGAAGTCGGTACTCTTTCTATAACATAGATGGCGACTGCATCAGTTTTCTGCACTCGGTGCATTAATTTTGGCAAGTTTGTTTGAGGCCAGGGGCCCTAAACTCGTCAAATACAAAGTTGTAGCCGAAAGTTCGCGGTGCGCGCCGATTGGATGTCGACGAGAAAAATGCGAAGTCATTGTCGTGATTGTCCAATCGGCGCGCTCCGTCAACTTTGCCTCCAACTTTGTATTTGACGAGTTTAGGGCCCCAGGGCCTCTAAACTCGTCAAACACAAAGTTGGGGCCGAAGTTTATAGAGCGCGACGATTGGCTGATCACGACGATGACTTCGCGCTTTTTTCGCCGACGTCCAATCGGCGCGCTCCGCGAACTTTCGGCTCCAACTTTGTGTTGGGCGAGTTTAGGGCCCCAGGGGCCCTAAACTCGTCAAACACAAAGTTGGAGCCGAAAGTTTGCAGAGCGCGCTGATTAGACGTTGGCAAAAAAAGCGCGAAGTCATCGTCGTGATAGACCAATCGGTGCGCTCCGTCAACTTCGGCCCCAACTTTGTGTTTCACGAGTTTAGGGGCCCAGGGCCTCTAAACTCGACAAACACAAAGTTTGGGTCGCGAAGTTAACGGAGCGCACCGATTGGCCTATGATCACGATGACTTCGCGCTTTTTTCGGCAGCGTCCAATCGGCGCGCTCTACGAACTTTCGGCTCCAACTTTTTTTTTGTGCGGCACTCCGCGAGTGTGATGCATTCTGGGAGCGGGCTCGAACGGTGCCAGTACGTGTGAAACGAACTCGCTATTAGTCAATAGGAAGTTTTCGTAGATGGTTTTCGCCGTTCCGCAACGGCCCTCCGCAACCCGCTACGTTACCCGGAACTCCACAGTCAAGGCTATCGGCGCGCAGGCGCTGTAGCGGCTTTTTCGTTGCGGAGGGCTTAGCGGAAGGGGGAACGCGGTCTACGAAAACTCCCTAATGGCAGCTTCCCGTGTCTTTTGGCGTGAAAATGACACTGCAAAGGGCATACTACAGTCGCCGATGCGAGCCATTTAAGCCGCACGTTGTAACGCCAGTCAGGAACACTATACGCTGCGTGCATTTTCAGCAGTTCCGTCATGCATACTGTCCCGCAGTCTCTAATCAGTTCAGGCAGCTATAAAGGGCTGTTCAAACAGGACACTTCAAGAACGCGTGACATAAGCGACACTTCTCCGCCACATGAAGTGCGACAATCCACTTCCGTCCGTTTTTGTTTTTTTTTTTTGCCGGGTTTTGGGGGGGGGGGGGGGGGGGGGGAGGGGGGGGAGGCGTTGTTAAAGTTTGCTTGTGTTTTTTACGGAGTCCTAGGGCATGCTCGTGAGTCCGGATAGTCGCTCACACGCTCCGTTGACTGTCAGTCAATCGCTCAAGGCCTCTGTTCAAGTATAATCCCGCAAACGGGACAGGGCGCGGCAGAACAGATGGACAGGCACCGACGTCACAGAAAAGCAGAGGAGGCGAGCAGGAAAGCCGTGATGACGCAATGAAGGGAACCGCTGTGAGTGTGCAGTGAAATAACACTGTGCACAGCAGGAGATTCCACAGACAAATGTTTCCACTGTATTCATTCGCAATTTTCCTTGGCATGCCAGATTCTGCACGTTCGCAAAAAGAGCGAGTAGCTTGACCCACATGCTCGTATCTTTGTCCGGGAAATATGCATGTTATTGAAAGCACTGCCAGTACAACGACATTAGAGTAAAGCTTCATTTCAGTTCATTTACTTTTCTCTCGGGGCCCGAAGGCATTACGGAAAGGGGTAAGGTATCGTACAATAAGTATAAACGCAAAAAAACAGACGACAAAATACAAAATTATGATGAAACATTATTGAACAAATTAGTAATTGAAATTTTCAAAATATCAGTGTCAGAAATTGTGACAATGGCTCTGGAAAGGCGATTTCTATCAATGGAGGTTTGAGGGCAAAAATGAGGCATTCGAAGTGGACGTCCTGCAGCGGGGGATTCTAACTTTTAGGCCATGATTGGTGCGTGATGATATGTGCGGTGGTTCTGAACATAGCGATTGGCGAAGTCTTCGGTTAGAGCAGGGGTCTCAAACAAGCGACCCTCGGGCCGCATGCGGCCCGCGACTCTCTGGTAAGCGGCCCGCAAGCATTCCGCGGTTGCGAGCCCCCATTCCCATGCCTCGAGCGCCACATGCGCCATAAATAATTGATTTTTTTTTTATTGTCGATTTATTTACGCTCAAAAAGAAACTCAGCTCATATAACGTGTTCACGCGTTTTGCACAATTCTACTTTTCTTTTGGACAGGGTACTGCTTCATCTAAATATTGGTGTCTTATTCTTTTCTATTATAAATCTACCGAAATGGCAACACCACTACTAACCTATACATGCGCGAACTCTTTGCCCAAGGAGACAGCTCGGCTGCTCGAACTCTTTCTTAGCAGGAGAAATTGCCAAAGGTAAAACTATGAGCTTGGGAAGCAACTCGGACATTTCGGACATCTTTTTGACGATTGAATTGGGTTCCAGGCACGGTCTCAGGCCACGTTGCCCAAATTTCAGCCGAAACCGGCGCTTGTGTGCCGCGCAAATCAATTAAACAGTCGCGGTAATAATCGTACCGGGATCGACTGGGGCGACGCCTCGAGAGTTGCGGGAGAAACCAGGAGAAGCGGAGCTCACGTGACCGATGCCGGGCCAAAAGGCGCGACGTCACAAGAGACGCGTCAGCGATTGGTCGAAACGAGAGACGTGCCCTCGGTCACGTTTTGGTTCGCGATTTTTAGAAATACTGTTCTAATTTCCGCTAGAATAACCATGAAAAGTATAAATCGGACCGGAAACGATTACTAAACCATAAATAAAGCGGCATAATTGTTTTTTTTTCCTTTGCTACGCTGGACGCGAAACGGCCAACGAGTAACTACGGGCACTTCGGCATGCGGGCCGCTCGTTACCGGCTAGGCGGTCTCCCTCGGGTGATGGCGGAGGCCGCCGCACAGGTACTCCCGTTCCGTTTGTGTTGGGTCACTCACTGAACGGAAGCTCGAACTCGCTCGCGAGAGCGGCATTGCCGTCCATGTTGACAGATTCGACTAAACGACCGCGCCACCGCGCTGCTATAACCCATCGCGGTAACCAGTGTCTCGATCTCCTAAATACTACCGATACCGACTATTCACACTTGACGACACTCCTCACGTCACCTCCGTTTTCGGAGGCCCAGAAACGAGAATGGAGATTGTTCAGTTTCAGTTTCTTTACTTCTTTCGTAGGCTACGCGTCACAAATGTCTACAAAAAACTGGGCAGCATGCTATGTTCCCAAGAAGCATAAAAACACTGTTTAAAAAAATAAATAAAGTTGTCTTCATTGTCTCTTTAAGACTACTTACGTGTAGGAATGCATGTAAGTGAATGCGAAAGCATTCGTACACGCAGCGCATTCCTACAAGCAGCGCGTCACATCTTCCTATCGCACACGGGGCTCCGGCAGTGACGTCACGCTCCCCCACTGCGCAGGCGCGGCGAACCCCGCCGGCTCCACGGCTTCCGTGACGATGCATCTGCGCTGCTCCGCTTTTCTTTGAGTTTACTTCTTTAAGGCGCGTCCGCTCTGACCTTGAGCGCCTCCGTCGGCTTCCGTGACGAAGCATCTGCGTTGCTGTGCTTTCCCTTGTGTTTTACTTCTGAACGCGGGTGTTTGATGACTTGCATTTAGGCGCCGTTCGCTCATCCAATGGGTATTTAGGTGCCGTTACACTCAGCCAATGTGACTAAATGCCTTTTCTGGTTTTGCGGCTGCAGACAACGCCGGCTGCGCTCGATGGGATCAGTTAATGCTTTCGCATTAAAATGCCAGGAAAGCAAAATCTGCCGTTTAAAAGTATATTTTTACTTGCTCGTTGATCCTAGTGAATTGTGCGACGGAGCATGAACGGTGTGCTTGCTCCCGCGTTCTATTGAATAGTGCCGGTACTATGGTGCGGTGGTGTTTTAAATCTTCTTATAACATCAGGTGTGGGCCCGAAGTAGTCGTATATGCAGATGAAAGCTAAAGATGCAAAAACGCTGAGCTTACAAAGCACAAGGTCCCTCGGCTAGAAAATCTCTGGGTTGTCGCTGGGACACTCGGCTTCTTCGCAACGTGAAACACCACTGCTGTTTGTTTGTTTATATTTTTGTCCCAAAATAGACAATACCCCCCCCCCCCCCCCCCCCCCCCGGTTGGCCCTCGTCCTTTCAAGGGTGCGCTATGTGGCCCCCACACTCGCGAATGAGTGAGACCCTAGCTGGTTTAGAGTGATTCATCTTATGGAACCAGCACAGACGACATATCTTTCTACGAAGGGAAAGTTTAAACAAGGATAGGGATGCTTCTATCGAAAGCTAACTGTGCGGTGATAGTTGGAAAATATAAAACGAGCGGAGTGATTCTGAATGGATACTACCACATGGGTAATACGAGTCTGCCAAATTGAAGCAGCATATTCAAGTTTAATCCGAATTAAAGTTTTAAAAAGAAGAATTACTTTGCGTTGTTGTTGACGTAGTGGGCATGAATATTCATCGCTGAACACTGATGTATAATAAGAAGGGCAAAGATAAGCAGGATGGAATTATTGTTAAGTAGGAACGACAAGGGTTCTTTTGATGACGGTCCGTCACGTAATTTCTATACTTTTATCGGTGCCAACGTTTCTGTGCGACGTCTTCACCGCGTAGTTTCCGCGGCACTCTGTCAAAGCTACTCGCGCGAGCGCGTGGCTTCGCTAGAGAATGAGACGTGGAGACGAATCCACGTATTCGCGCAGCAGTGCGGAGCTGCCTACACTGGAATCTACGCTATTAGCGGCGACATGTTTTGGCGGAGCCCTTCTATGGTTCCCTCTCGTGACGTCATTAACCTTCAAACAACAAGTTCGATGGTGTTTGTAATTAGCATGATGGAAGTTTTTAAATCATTGCGCCCTCAAAGCAACACTGCCAACACCGCCAAAATCGAAGTTCTTCCATTTCACTTATTTCCGTCGATGAGAAATCCTTTGCTGACGTCACAGTCAGCCTTCGGTCAATCGTGGCACGGCGATCACAGCGACGATTTCGATCGCACACGTACCCAATAGCATTGACGATGCAGAGCTTGTTTACAAACAAGTCCGCGTTTTCCCCAGTGTTGGGTAAGTAGATCTAAAAGGTACTTCAAGTAAAGTACAAAGTAAACGAGACGTGATGTACATCAAGTAAAGTAATAAGTACACTGGGTGCAATCTACTTGAAGTAAAGTACTATAAATACAACGTACTTTCAAAGCAAAGTACAAGTATTATAACACAATCTTTCATGATGTCCTTTCATTCCCCTATACAGTGATTTCTTTTTTTATTGGTATGCATTGCCCAGGGGTAATAACCTAATAACCTATTTGGCACGACCTATTTTCAAAAACAGCGGCGAATATTGGATAAAGTCAAGTGGCCACAGAGTAGTAGTTTTCAGGATTAAAGCCAAATTCAGAAATCCCTCTTCTAAATTTGGCGCCGCTGGCATTGGATTGTTGCACCCAGGGGGGTTAAATGTACAAGGAGAGAGCAAGACGTCAGTCCCGTCGCTGCCTGCAATCCTCTCATAGAGTAGTGTCCTCTCCTTAATAAAAAAAAAACAGTGAGTGTGCAAGCGAGCTGGTGATAATTAATGATAATGTGACACCTGAGATTGGGGTGCCAAAACTTTAAGGAACTTTGAAGTTGAAGGAAAAGACAAAAGAGTATGTCTCGAAACACTGTGACGGTCTCCTCTGTTGTCTTTTTCTTCGACTTAAAATTTTAATTTTTCCGCACCACAGTCTCAGGTGCTACCTTATGATTAATTTTGCTCTCCTAATATTTTAAGCCTCCTCGCTTGCGCTGAACGACCGAGAAGTAGCGAGAGTTCAAAAAGCTACGGAAAAGCCGCCCCCAGAACAAACGGAGCGATGCGTCGTCTGCCCACGTTTCTGGTGAGAGTAGAATATCCGTCCCAGTATTTATTCGGAATTGACAAAGCATCAATTCGTGATACAAATTTAACAAAACCAAATTTGGTGAATGTAAGTTTGAAGTCTGGAATTGTATTTGCCTCGGAAAGTACCAGAAAAAGATACTTTTAGTAAAGTACAAGTACATATTCAGGTAATGTACTTCAAGTAAAGTACAGGTTGTCTAAACCTACTTGAAGTAGTACTTTAAGTACAATGTACTTGAAGTAGTACTTTAAGTGCAATGTGCTTAAAGTACTTCCCAACACTGGTTTTCCCACACCACGTGCTGCGCTTGCCCACAAACCAGATTCCCGCCTGCGCATGCATTCCCTTCGTCGACAGCAGTGGGACGTATGTTAGAACCGCGCGTTGGTGTTTCCCAAGTAGACGCGCGCTCGGCGGACGGGTCCAACAAATCACAACGTTCTGCATCCAGTCTCAGGCTCATTTAAACGCGTTACACGTGTACAGAAATAAATAGCCTGTAGGGCGTCGAGTGCCCAAGTGGTAGGCCCCCGAGCAACGCCAACGCCCTGACGACAAACTGGGAGCCAATTTGGCATGCCATCGTTAGGAGGGATTTGGTGGCCTTGAGATCTGACCGACATACACACTTCCACGGCCGCTACGTAGTTGTTAAGTCCACATTACATTCACAGACAACATACCAAAATCACGAACTTGTAGGTCGCTTTTATCGCCCCTGAAAAGGCACTGAAGTTGATTCTGAGGCCGTCCTTTTGTAGTGACAACTCAATCTAGACGCTCTAAGCATCCCAACAAAACCCGAAACCAGAATCGTGCGTAGCTTGTTTCCTCGTTAAAAGCGCATTTAAAAAAAAAAAAATAGTGACACGCCATTTTTGGGAAGAATTTTCTTCCGAGTGACGTGGTCAACGGAGGGCGCTTGTCGACGAGTTGCAAGCGATGGCTCCGTCCGCGGAGAAAAAAAGGAGTCTTATCTGAATGCGTACCTATCAGACTCTCTGCGAAACGAATTATAATAAAATCATGCGGAATCTGGCTTTCATTTGTCCACACAATGTAGTCCGCGAGAAAAAAGAGTCCGCATGTTTTTTATTGCCCTGAGATCCAATGGCAGTTTTGTAATACAAAATTTGGTATATGTGGGAGCTAACACATTTTAAACAATATAAGGTCAAAAAAGACCTTTTCGAAAATGACTTCAGTGCCCCTTTAAAAAATGCCTTTTTTTAATGGGAGGAGGGGGAAACAATTAGTCATGACTAGCTGTTATTAGTAGAGAAGGGCCTAGGAACTTATCGCCATTAAAGTGCACAAAAGCAAATGAAGGACATACACTGTTTCAAGCAGCGATGCCTCTATGCAAATGTTCCCATAGTTATTGACGACCCTTCAATAACTTGCGTATTTTGATGCGCATTCCGTGTCGCAGTGCGGGGCGTTATAGTATCTGATCGAGTTATTTTTTTGTAGAATAGGGCTCAAAACACTTCACAATCGGGAAGCAAAAATCAAGTGCAGAACTTGGAAGGAAGAAAAATGGCGGACGGATTTATTCCTGCTACCCAAGTGCCCGTTAGCACTCAACCACACGTGACAAAGTTGCAAAAGGATTTCATAGTTTCGGGCGGCACATACAACGTTACTAGGTAGGCGAGCTGGTTGTCATTCAACCCGAGACGAAGACAAAAAAGAAGAAACACAACGTCTCGATTGAGATGTGTTTGTCTTTTTGCTTAGTTTTTTTGCTTCCGCCTCGGGTTTTAGTATGACGACACACAACCCATGTTTTACGCAATGAGAAATACGTAACACTGCAATACAAACCTTCAAAGTGTGACCACTTGGCGTCCAATCGTCTTTAAATATTTTTTTTAGGAGAACGTTTTTAGACGTTTCTGGCTCGCACATTTATTTGGCTCGCACGAAACAAAACACAACGCCGTCGTGTTGTAACGGCTTAACCATTCACCGGGTGCCGAACGGGTTAACCCCCGTATTAATACCCATTAGGTCGACGCCATCTTTGACAGCACACGATACCGCGTACCGCCGGGACACCAATTTATGCGGTCCATTGACACGCGAACGCAGATTATGTCTCGGCCCGGAAAACGAGATACCAATCGCGGTAAGCCGGCAAATGTGTACAGAAACAAAAATGCCAACAGCCGTAGGCTCGTTTTAATTCGGCGGAACTGTTCGTTTCACTTTCTCAGGCGCTCTAATCGAACGAAATACCAGACGAAAGATGGTCGAAGTGCACGAAAGATGAGTCACCCCCTTGGTTCGGATGAACTCTGAGAACTCTGTCGGTGCGCGGCGTGAGTACTCACCAAAACGACGTTGACGGCCATGCTGTAGGTAGCACAGCGCGGACCAGCTGCCGACTGCTCCCGGACTGTGGCAACGCCAGCGGCGCACCACGCACCTATCTGGCTCCTTTGTTTATTTCTTTCTTTATACGGACTGCCGACAAGAAAGGCGGTTCTCCTTGGATCAGTGAATTTATTATGCCAGACGACGGTTCCGGATGTGGGAATGCCACGAGAAAGAAGGAAGTTTACACTCCGCGCTTACGGGATCCCGCATAGCTAATGAGGTCCCGAACAAAGGTTGTGTTGTCGAATGCAAACGCGTTGACGCAGATACGCGCTGAGTCATGCGCGGTTTGCTATCCAAAATCGACGAATCTGCGCTGAGGGATCCGGCCCGCTCCGCGACGACTTGGGCTGAGGAAGAGAGGCGGCTATTTAGTAGCCGAGAGGCGCCTTCTTTTTGCTTATCGGGTTTCGGGTTCCGAATCTTGCGGTCGACGACCCCCGAGCGCTGCCGTGTGGACAGCGAAGTCTCCGAGAAAGCAGCAGGTGGCCAAGATCGTTGGAGAAAGTGGTTTGTCCGGGTAATAAAACCAACCGAGCGTTTGTCAAATTCTAACTAGAGGTACTCGAGAAGACAAAAAAAAAAAAAAATTAAGAAAGGTCCAGCGTTTTTTTAACTGATTTCTACTATCTAATATTGCTCTCGTCTCTGGCGCAGTGCCGCTTTTTAAACAAAGGTGGGAACGAACATGAAAACAAAAATCTAAAAGAGTTCTCTCAACAAAATAGTTTTCACTCAGCAGCTGATTAGCCACTTCTTAATAATTTTGTATAATTTTCTACTTTTTTTCTCATAGGAGGTTATCATGCAAAACAGTTCATTTATTTGTATTATAAACACGTTAAGTCACAAGTAGCGTTTGACCACTTGGTCTGTCTGAATTTGTAACGTTTCCTTCCCCGATTGAAGATAAAACTTTTGAGCGTTTTCGACGTTTCCTCAACAGCTCGGCTAAATAATACACGAATCAATGCACGAACACCAAATGGAAAGAAAAGTAATTATAGAGTCCATTGGCGATTTTTTTTTTTTGTAACACGTTTTTTGGTGCTTTTAAAGGATGCCCCCGCAATCTTTTGATTACGTGATTATTCAGTTCAAGATTGGGCAACGACGCAAAGGGTTGGAATGAGGCTAAACTCGGTTGCTTTGAAGAAATCCCGGGCAAAAGCTCACTAGACAAGAACTCATCGAACAAAATCTCACCGGACATAAGCTCACCGAACGAAAGCTCACCAGATAAAGGCTCACGCACAAAAGCACATCAACGAAAACTCATGGGTCATAAGCTTACCGGGCAGAAACTCACCGGACAAACGCTCACTGGTTATAAGCTGACCAGACAAGAAGCTCTCCAGACGAAAGCTCACCAAACAAATACTCATGGACAAAAGCTCACTGGCCATAAGCTCACTGAGCAAAAGTTCACCGGACAAAAGCTCACTGAAAAAGCTTACCAGGCAAAATCTTACCAGAAAGAAGCTCACTGGTCATAAGCTCAGCGGTCAAAATCTCACCGGAAAAGAGCTCACCAGACAAAAACTCATGGGACAGAAGTTCATCAAACAAAAACTTATGGACAAAAGCTCATAAGACAATACCTCACCGAACAAGAGCTCACTGGACATAAGTTCACCAGGAAAAGCTTACTTTTCCGTTTTAAGCTCACTGGGCAAAAGCTTACCAATCCAAAACTCATGGACAAAAGCTGACCACTAAACTCACCGGACAGAAATTCATTGGTGAAAAGCTCACTGGCCATAAGTTCACAGACAAAAGCTCACTGGACAAACACTCATGAACAAAAGACCACGGGACAAAACCTCGCCGAGTAAAAGCTCACCGGACATAAGCCCAGCAAACAAAAGCTCACTACACAAAAGTTCACCGGACAAAAGCTCACCAGACAAAAAACTTCAGACATGGCTCACGGGACATAAGCACACCAAAAAAAGTACAACTTGCAAAACCTATAATCATCACAGAATCACCATCACTAGACGCGGCACCGCGGGCCTTTAACGCGGGCTGTTGCCTTTCTGCGGTACCACGGATCTCCTGAGCCAACAACGATTAATAATAATAAGAAAAGCGCGCTGTACAAAAGCTCACTACACAAAGGCTCACCGGACATAAGCTCACGGAACAAAAGCTCACCAGACAAAAACCGAACAAAATCTCGTGGATAAAAGCTGGCGGACAAACACTCACTGGAAAAACACTCATGTACAAAAGCTGACCAGACAGAAGCCTCACCGGGCGAAAGCTCATCGGACATAAGCTGACCGAACAAAAGCTCACCGGAAATAAGCTCACCGGGCACAAGCTACTGGATACAAGCTCAGCGGACAAAAGTTCACCGGAAAAATCTCGATAGACAAAAGCTCATCGGATATAAGTAGGCCGCATACTTTCCGGTGTTTATTTATGCCAAAAAACGGCGGAAGTTTTTCGGTGTTTATTTATTTCCAAAATACCTGTGCATTTCGGTGAATTGTCTCGTGCAGTCGCTGAAAACGGCTTTTATCGACGGGCTGATGGGTCCAATCAGACAGTGTCAAAAGCGCACCTTCCTCGCTGAGCCAATCATAAACGAAAAAGGTCCAATGACTTGCGCGTTTGGCGCATCTTGATTGGTCCCATTTCCTCGTAGCCTTGGCTGCGTGCTGAAATGAAGTATGAAGGAACCCCGGTGGGCCAGACTCCCCTCCCTCCAGGACACGCTTCGACACCGACAATAGAAAAGACACTCCAAACCACCCAACTAGGGCCTACAAAGCAGGAGGGCAACTTTCAACCGGGCGATTTACAAAAGGGCAGTATGAGGCAAAACTTTTGGAGGCCTAAACTGAATGTCAAAGCAACCGGCAAAGTAACCAAACTTTTTTGGTGCAAAAAAAAACAAAAAAACTGCCGCTTGTACGAAACTATCTAAAAACCGCTATTTTTCAGTTTTAACCGACTTTTTTTATTTTTGACACCGGCGAATGTTTGTCGATGTTTTTTTTTTTGTTTTTTTTTTGTTAAAACCGGGAAGTAAACGGCCTTGACATAAGCTTACCCAACAAGAGTTCACCGACAAAATGTTATCAGAAAAAACCTTACCGCACAAAAGCTCTTAGACATAAGATCACCGGACAAAAGCTCACCATACAAAAGGTTAACAAAAACTTACCATACAAAGGCTCAACTATATTTTGACAGTTGATCCACGCGAGCATCCCCGAGATTCTCGGGCATTCTTTGCGCCCTCTCTCGGAAGTTCTCGAGGTACAAACGGAAAATAGACAAACATACGTACATACATAAATTTATTGCATAATGAACGTGTACATGAATCATCCAGACCCGCAAAAGTACGTGTGTTCTTGTGAGCGGGACACTGTTGCAATAGATAGGATGTTATCACTCTGTCAAAACAAAACGACGTACCGGCATGCTTAAAAAAAAGTCACGTACATGTTACAAAACTTAACAAGTTACGAACTCTGTAAATTTAAAACTAAAAATCACAACATGCAAACACACAAAACGACGTACGAAAAAAAAAAAAGAAAGAAAAATGAGAGAGATTAGAGGTTGCAAATTTGGCACTCTCTCAGCTCTCTTTTAACTATCATAAGTGACTTCAAATCCAAAAGTCGATCTGGCAACATGTTATAATAACGTGGAACATAAAAACGCCGTACCCTTTTACCGCAGTTTGTGAAAATCCTTGACAGAACGAAACATTATATTTTCGTCGGGACCCTTTGATTTTTAATGCGAAAGCATTAACTGGTCTCATGGAGCGAGCTGAAGTCATCAGTTTGAAGCACGAAAACGGCACATAGTTTCCCCGATCTTTCGGTTCCATTGGCTGGCGCACGTCGACGGGGCTCCCATTGGCCGCTGCGCTCGTCAGTTTCCACGACCGCTCACCCCGTGGCGCTGCGTGTCCATCAGCGCGCCGTTTCTCTCCTGGGCACGGAGCGTCCAAGGTCACCGTGCCCGGGGAAGCACACGCGCTGACCGGCGACGAAAAGTACGCAGCAGACGAAAAAGGGAGCGGACAGAGCGGCTTGCATGCTTTCGCATTCACAACTCGTAAAGAATGCTTAGGTATACCTCGATCTTTTTAGTGGCTTCTTAAACGTGTATTTGTAGTAATTGTGTGCCAATATGGGTATAGCTGTACAAGCTGTTAAATTGCAAGATCGGTAGCGACCGCGTCTTTAAGTCAGTTTCAAGTTCACCAAATTTAGTTCCGCACGCAATGTTTCTTGCTATGTTTTGCAGAATACTATCTCATTTTCTTTTCTTTTTTCTTATAATACGAGCAGGAACCATAAACCGTTATTCCGTATCGTAGTATGGACTCCCCCAGTGCCTGATATGTCTTGTATCTACAGGGTGAAACAAGGAGACGCCAGGCTCTTTAAATCGACCGGAAAATTCGGTTTCTTAACGGCGCCATTTCGCACGGGAGACAAGAGATGGCGCAAGCGGTCGCGACGCCAACTGCCGCCAACGAAGGAGCAGACGACGCCGAGAGCCGGCCCTTTTCAAGACAAGGAACTGTAGTTCCTTGCTGTTACCGCGCCTGTCTTTTTTGTTTCTGCGACTGTCGCCGCCTGCGGAACGCACGCCGCTTTTGAGTCGAAAAGATCGTCTGCTAAAAAGGCCTGCTCTCGGCGCCGTATGCTCGTTCGTTGGCGGCGTTTGTTGCGCCATCTCTTGTCTCCCGTGCGAAACAGCGCCGTGTTGTTTGCAGACCGGTGGCGTCGCTGCGTTTCCATAGGCGCTAAGCCTTTTTCTTTCTTTACTTTTTCCTCAGGTAAGTTCGCTCTTTGCAAATTTTACAAAACAAATGCACCATCTGTGGGCAACGCTGCACAAAGTCGTAGCGTGATAGGTTAAGAAACCGAATTTTTCGGTCGATTTAAAGAGCCTGCCGTCTCCTTGTTTCACCCTGTAGTACGCGTCTCGGTCCGAAAACGAAGGCGGTATGTATAAGTAGATACCGTTCGTAGGCGTCT